CCAACTCAACGGCACATAACAACAATTGCTATGGTGTTTCATTTTGCTGTGCATAGGGTCTCTATGGGTTGTAATCGACTCAATAGCACCTAACAACAACAACATCAATTGGTATGGTGGTGTCTCACTGTAGGATACTATAAGTACTACACAATTAACCAAAGGCAAGCAGTTCAAAACCACCAGCTACACTTTGGAAACTATGGTCACTATGAGTCCACTAAAGGTCACTATGAGTCAAAACTGACTTGAAGGCAGTTAACAACAACAAAAACAACTGGCATGGCAAAAAGAAAAAATGTACATACTTGAATTTAAGAGAAGTTCAGAAAATCAGGGTACCTAGATGAGGTCTTAATGTAGAAAAACTTTATTTGAATCTTGAAATATAGATAAAACATGGGTAGGGGTAAAGAGGCGAAAAACCCCCAATATTTTACAGGTTTGGCAATACAATATATGAAGAAAACACAAAAGGATAGAAAAAACCATGCAAGATCTTTTATATATTAAAACTATATTCAGAATTAAAGATCTTGTGTTGCCAAAATGTGAAGGGTTTTTTCTCTGGACTTGCTTCTATCTTAAAAAAATAAAAAGAAGAGAAATCATAAAACATCCTTAAATATTTAAGAGATGAAAATATTTGCCATATATCCTTTTAGGGTTCTAGATTCCAAATTGCCTGAGAAACTTACAAAGAAATAAATCTTTTATTAAAGACAAATGGCCAGTTCTCCTACCCATCTCAAGGCCCAAATTCTACAAAAGTAGAAAAATTGCAGTATGCTAATGGCATTGCGAGAAGATCAGAGATTCATCTCAGAACACTGAGTAACAGTTTCCATGAAACAAAACGGAGGCACTTACCATCTGGACAGTAACATCCATCAAGACAATGGAGATTACTCCCCAGACATTCCTTCTCAAATGTGCAGGTTGGTGGGCAACAACTGATGCAATCCCGATGGACAAAGCTATCATCACATTTATCAGCTAAAATGAACCAACAAGTAAGTGAACTTCATTTACTTTCAAAAGTAATTACTGTGTTTAAAAAGCTATGCAAGTTTACAAATCACTTGAAATTTCATCAATAACAAACACTTGCAAATCATTAATTTTTAGTACTACATAAATTTCCACTGTCAGGATAAGACTAAAACTAACAAAAGTAACACTTTAATCCTCAAAGTGACATCTTTGCTTTTTAGCACTTTAAAGAGCTCTTTTTTGCAACAGATTCATCCAACGCAATATATCCTCTGTTTTCCTGACTGCTACTTGCATGGGCGTTGGTTATGGATCCACATAAAATGAAATCCTTGACAATTTCCATCTGTTCTTCGTTTATCATGATGCATTGTTTATTAGCCCAGTTGTAAGGATTTTCGTGTTTTTTTATGTTGACATATAGAGTCCTGGTGTGGCACTGTGGGATAATGGGCTGGACCACAAGGCCGGTTTGAACCACGAGATCAGTGGTTCAAATTCATCAGCTGCTCCTTGGAAACCCTATGCAGGGTCGCTGTGAGTGGGAACCTACTTGGTAGCATTTAACAACAAAAACAACATATTGACACACAATCCATACTGAAGGCTTTAATCTTCATCAGGAAGTACTTTAAGTCCTCCTTGCTATCAGTAAGCAAGGTTTTGTCATCTGTGCATCACAGGTTGTAAATGAGTCTTGCTCCCCAATTGATGCTGCATTCTTCACATATCCAGTCTCTCGGATTAATTGCTCAGAAATTGCTCAATTTAATGAATTAAATAAGTATGGTGAAAGGATACAACACTGATGCACACCTTTCTCTGATTTTAAATCATGCAATTCGCCCTTGTTCTGTTTGAACAAAGCCCTCTTGGTATATCTTCAGGTTCCACAATGAGCACAATTAGGTGTTCTGGAATTTTTGTTCTTCACAACGCTACACATAATTAATAAGAATTAATTATGATCCACATAGTTAAAAGCCTTTGAAAAGTCAATAAAACCAAGTAAACATCTTTCTGGTATTCTCTACTTTCAGCCAACATTCACCTGATATCAGCAATGATAGACTTTGTTGCACATCTGCTTCTGAACTTGTTTGAATTTCTGGTCATTCTCTATCGATGTACTGGAGCAACCATTTTTTAACACTCTTCAGAAAAATTTTATATTTATCTGACATTAATGTATTACTGGATAATTGCCACATTTTTGGAGGATCATCTTTCTTTGGAACGAACACAAATATGGATATATTTCTGTCTGTTGGCCAGGTTGCTGTCATCCAAATTATTTGACATAAACAAGTGAGTACTTTCAGTCCTGTACCTATATGTTGAAGCATCTCAACTAATATTCCATCTATTCCTAGAAGCTTGCTTTTCACCAATGCCTTCAAGTGCAATTGTTGTTGTTAAGTGCCATCGAGTTGTTCCGACCCATACCGACCATGTATAGG